AAATTAAAATTACTCAATTTCCTAATGGATTCTGTCTTAATCACTTACTGCACAGCATCTCACATGGGCATATACTAGTGCTTACACACTGTTCTTTACAATTTAGAAAATACGAAATTAAATACAAAAGTTCACCACGCAAGAACAGCTTACAAGTTTATATCCTGATTCTAATTAATTTCCTGATTCAAGTTCAATTTCTGATTTGCCCAGTACTCAAACAAATTATAAAGCACATTTTTTTGATAGGATAAAATCATACCCCGTAGTTACCCTCATCATCTCCTTAAAACAAGCACGGAGAGCTATCTTTCATTGACGGACTAATCAATCAAACTAATGTCTTCTAAATGACAACACCCAAAATTAAATACACCATTTTCAGCCGGACACCACCTGGAAAACGGGTAAAATTATGTCTTAAATTGAGATACTTAATACAATACCTCACGCAGCGCTGGCTTTACGATCGTTTCCAGTGCCAAATTTGGCACTGGTGTACTCTCGTCACCACCCAGGGCCATAAGTTTCAACGTTGAATCCTCACCAACTCGAATGCTTGACCTTCCGCCATATTTGAAAACCGATGTTTACCCAGAATGCCTTTAGGCTCGAGGAGGCTCATGAAGACTGGGAACTAGAGTTTTAGACACAATCCCTAGCGATCTTAAACAGGCAACATGGCGGACAGCAACCATGTGGAAGAGGTGAAGTGCGAAGTTTGTAACAAAATTAGTGCTAAATATCGCTGTCCAGGTTGTTCAAGACGAACATGCAGGTAATGCAGTGTACTTGAAGGCTGATATTAATTTGCGATGTCGTGATTAATACCACACTGAGTGTTATTTCTCGTGTCTTGTTTTTGTCAGCTTAGCATGTGTCAAATGCCACAAGATTCAATTTCAGTGCTCAGGGATTCGCAGCAAGACAAAATTTGTGTCAGTCGACAATTTCACAGATAGGAACTTGTTATCAGGTAATGGATCTTCAATGTGAACGGCTATTTCAAAATATAAACGCTATATATATAGATATAGAAGCATACTTGTACACCATGCACGGGTATAATTGGGTTTGTGTTTAAAATTAAGACTACAGGTTCCTGGAGGATGTGGATAGGTTGGCTTTTTCGGCAGCACATGATGGCCGGAAAAGCTGGAGACGCTGGAGTACACAGGTGGGGCTAACTTCTTTTGACTTAGCCTGAGATAACAGCTGACAGTTTTGGGACCACTCGTCTGAGCTCTGAGGAACGAGCCCAGATATTCCATGCTGATGACTTGTTGCTACCCAGATCTGGGTAGTGCTTCTGATTGGTTGTAGCAAACTCTGTCACCTCATGACCAATCAGAAGCACTACGATCGATCTGGGTAGTGACACGTCTGACATTTCTGTGCTTGTTCCTCAGATGGGGGGAAACCAGTGGTGGTACAGTCACTAACTGCTTGTTGTTTTCTCAGGCTACTTTACTTACAGCTGTATCATGTACTTAACAAAGTGAGAGTAGGGTAGGGATCAGAACACTTCATGAGAGCAGCATGAATGAAATGGCTTGCCATTAATAGAAAGACTGTAAAATTCCAAAAGACCCTTGAAAAGCTATTCAAGCAGCCCTGATAATCTCCTACCGATGACAGCTGGGCAGCAATGTCTTAGGGTTAAATTAGCCTATACTATTTCATTTAGCTTCATTTTAAGTCATCAACAAAGATGAGTGTGAATAAAGGTGCAGTAAGGGCTGTAGTATCCAGGAACTGCAGCTGAGTGCAATGTGTAACCATGACAACCCTTTGATCTTTGATCTGATCGTTCATGTGTTGAAAAATTACTCTCTGTAAGTTGATGATATTACTTGTTGTAAACCTCGTACATGTGAATTCACAGACAGCCACATTACCTTATGTTTTAGCATTGGGTTAGCTGTTTATTTTGTTTTCTTCTATACTTATTGGTTAATCCACTGTTCACTAGATTTCTTTTCTTCGACGAAAAGCTAAACAAAATGGAGTAGATTTGAAGTTAATGCCAGTGGGAATGTCAAAGAGAAAGGAGAACACATCAAAGTTCTGTAGAGAGTAAGTCCTCCCGATCATCAATATACAAGAAACTCATATTAGTGGTTGGTCAACCAATAATATGAGTTTGTGGTAATATTAACATAAATATATAGATTTAACCAAGCATAAAAGAAAAACTGGTATAAAATCACTAATCACTTGTTACATGACACTGAATATTAAAAATTAATCTTACTGTAACCTTCCACAATAAACTTTAATGTAAGGGTACTGTTTTGTCCTTTACCAACCTACCAAGCATCACTCAGGCAAACAACACAGGGCTCAAAAGATATCTGAGACTGTTGACTGGCCAAAGAAGTTTTAGCTTGGTCACCTCCCTCTTCTGACCAGTCAAAATGTTAAAAGTAACGTGATAATCACTTGAACATACCAGCCTAACAAGCAAAAACTTAATTTAAAAAAAGGATACTCATTCTCTTGAAATGTTATGTTGTGAAAATGTTTTCTTTTTCTGGTCGCTTATTTAGGTGTCTGGACAAAAAGACTGTGAAACTGAAAGTATGTCCAGGCAAATGGTCATCTTGTCAGATTGTCCATTGACCAACTGTTATTATGGGACCTTAAACAACCACAACAGCAAAGACAATGACAACGACATTGTCAAAAAACTATTGTTTTTATGAGCAAAACAACAGCTATGCACGTGCATCATGCTTTTGAGTACCTTTCTTTGAAATCTACTGCTCAACTAGGATGTGACTTCCGAATATGGTGTTTTATGAAGGAGGTGAACATGTGTACGACAAGGAATTTTCTTTTGTCTTTTTTAACCATGAAACTTCATGTACATTCAACAAATTGAGCAGGTCCAACTAAATGCGATTAGGTTGGAAAGGATGAAAATTAATTTTTTAGTGACGTTTTCATTGTCTTCACCATTGTTGCTGCTCAAGTTCCCTACATTGTGTATTTTGAGCCCTGCAACCACTGCCTGGTTTATCTCATTTGCCTGTTGGTAGGTTCTGCTGAGGGGAGACCCAACTTAAGACGCCAACTAGAACACAATGTTATCAATCCTTAGTATGATACCAAGTAGCCTCGTTATAAATTACCAGTAAATCGTAATTCCACCCTTCAGTTTGTTTCAGGTACACTTAGTGTAACAATAAGACAGTTGGAGTGAAACTAATTGATACAACTGTCTGTTCTTTAGATTGCAATGTATAATGTGGAGAATTAGATGGCTGTTCCCCCAGGCTGGTTTTGAATATGTTGATAGAGGGTAAGAAAAATGTTCCCAAAAGTGAAGGGTATTGTACTGAAAATCATAGTGCAGTCTATGTTTACTTAAGTGGCAGTCGTAAACTTTCCCGCTTTTAAAAATACAGGAATAAAGCTTTAATAATTAAAGCTTTATTCCTGTATTTTTAAAAGCATGAAAGTTTACGACTGCCAATTATTTACCTTTTATTACTGTGATACAAAGTCATAGCAAAAAACCATTTCTTGTAAATTAATATTGAACCATAATATGCCTGCCAACTTTTCCTACATGTAAGTCAAATCATGTGATAATCGCTGGACTGGAATCGCTGGACTGGACTGGACTATTTTGGGTCGAGATTTAATTTTATTTTTCATATTGATATGGTCAGTGAAGCTTTGGCCTGGATATGTGAGTAATGAATGTGAAATTGCCCTTTATATATAGAGCATGAGATTGACCTTTTCAATCTGCAGGTGTGTGACACCCATAATGCACGTGAGTTGGCAGGTATACCATAATAGTACAACAGTTGTACAGTTCATGGTTATTAGTGGTCTGACAGACATTGATGATTTTGACTGGAGACAACTTAAGAATAGTCACCATCTCGTGACCACTGATGATGACTGTTACTTCATTGTTAGTCATCACCAGTTATACTGATAATGACTGCCAATGTCACATTTACTCTCAACTTATAAATTTATTAATCATCTTTTTAATTTAATGTATCATAGGGTTTCAGAACTAACAGTTGTCAATGAAGTTCTCAGGAAGTACATTGACCCTGAGAAGGCAGATGCCGTTCACAAGCAAAGGTAAAACAACAATGAAATACTTCATTGTATAAATAATGTAGTAAACAGTGGTTTTCAGTAAACTGTTGCTTTTTCAAATTAAAAGGGTATTATTTTCACATACTTCATTAACAGTATTCATTAACTTTTGTCAAGTTACAACTGTCTTTGGGATCCGTCTGTTCATATACCAGCACAGAACAAAACAACTTATTATAAGACTTTTAGCCTTTTTGTACATTTATGTACTGTAATTTGTTATGTACTGAAAGATCCATTATAATGTTATTGTGAGTCATACTATTTACAGATTAGAAAAATTTGAATTTTTAATACCATTTTCCAACAGTTTGAAGAATTACTGTGCTGTTGGTCCTCAAGGAATCTGTGTGTTTTTAAAGGTGGAATCTTTACCTGCTTCTAAACTTAGGTAAAATAATGCAGCATTGGATATTGTAATCTTTGATTGCACTTAGACTGGATTAAGACAACATAAGTGATGTACAGTGGTCATTGTGCATTGCAAAAGCAGCCAACTTAATTACTCCAGGGATGCAGCCTAAGACAGTTGAACCTTCCATAAGTGACCACCCAAAATGCAAAGGCTTGGTGGTTGCTTACGGGAGGGTGTCGATTACAGGAGTTGAACCACATGGGGCCACATGGGGCCTTTTCCGAGACTGTCATCTCCGAAACTTGGTCTCGGTTGCTTACGGGGGATGGTTGTTTACACTGAGGTTCCAACTGTAAGGCTTTGACCGGGAAAATTTTGGTGTTTTGGATCGGTGGTTGCTTGTGGAAGGCAGTTGCGTATGAGAGGTGGTCTCACATGGAGGTTTCACTGTATGACTGTAATACAGTCAACTGTTGCCTTGCGATCATTTTGCTGTCATGGACATCCTGTAAATTAAAGTACAGCTGTATGGAAAACAGCTAAATACATGGCAAAATTTAAGTTACAGCTGAGGTGGTTGCTTACAAGAGTTTTAAAACAATAGAAAATTCTAAAACTGTCGTTCTAAAAAGTGGTTCCGGTCGCCTATGAAAGGTGTTAATTTACAAGAGGTTCCAGCCATAAGGCTTTGACTAGGAAAATTTTTTTGGATAAGTGGTTGCTTATGGTAGGCGGTCACGTATTTACAAGAGGTGGTCACACATGGAGGTTTGACTGTAGTTCATTAATAGAGTCCATGTGAGTTAACACATAGACTAATTTCATTCACTTTTTAACATCATAATGATTTTTTTGCCTTTTTGTTTTAACAAACTATTCTTCTGTGGGGCATCAGTCTCACTTTTAAGGACATCTTCTCATCAGGTGCTGGGGGTATCCACAATAATGCGAGTTGACTGTAATGACAGTCATCATCATCATCATCATGAAAATTATAATGCCTGTTGTGCAGTGAAATAGATTTATTGAGCCCAATGATTGCGCTGTAAAATGATAACTAAGGCCCTGAAAGGAGCTGCCTTAAATACGATTAACTAGCCAGCATCCAACGATGCACATTAACCAGAAGTGGCCTTTCTGCACTCTTGACCTGTCAAATTGAACAAAATTTTGGGCAAATATTTGTCTCCATAAGAGTAAAGACACTTAGCAATACAAATTTGGTAACATCAAAGCATATCAAAGGAGAAAAAGGCCTACATCTGGTTGATGTGTGTCACTCAAAAACATCGCCGCTTAAATTTGGCCCTAATGTCTCGTGTTTAGCCTCGCCTGGTAAATTTGATTGAGCCACACACAATGCTAAGATGGAAGTAAGTAAGAAGGGCATGTTAAAAAAGTAGAACAGTCTTTTATTGTTTCTTTAGGTTAAAAACAAGGGAGGTGAGGCTGGGGAGAGGAACTCTAAAGCCATGCATTAAAAGAGAAGGATGCGATAAGGGAACTCAAACCAATCACTACCCTGCGAGCAGAGGTGTTGCTCTTGCATGGCTTGTCTGTCGCGTTTTTCTTGGAGCATAAACAAACCAACTACGCGGCAGACAAGCCATTTAAAAGACTTTGTAAACGATAAAACTGTGCAAGAGAGAAACCTCTGCTCACAGGGTAACCAATCAAAATTCCTGAAGAAATGCATGGCAAATTATTTCTTACAGTCTGAAATAGGGGTTGGAGAGGTATGACATTTCAGACTATCTATGTTTCTTAGTACAAGTTGTAGGACTAAATTCTTTGTACTTTGCAGGTATCATAAGTTGGATACTTCTAAAACCCTAAAGGAATGCCTAAACAACAAGACCATCATTGAATTCCCTACTTTGCATGTTGTGCTTGCTGACAAGGCAGCAAGCTACATCTCCGTGAGTCAAGATGAAACCTTTGCTGCTGTCACAGAGAGTGCAACATGAGAAATGCCTTGTAGAAATCATTCTACATTTGTATTTTGAGAGGAAGTGTTTGTAACATAGAGTGATGAAGAGCACATGTGGTTGCCACTCCCACCTTAACAAACATATTCAGGATTGTACCAAAGTTAAATGGATTCCTTTACACCAGACTTCATTGGAATGGCTCTATTGTCTCTGACTGAGAGAATGATATAAAGCAGCAGTCTGCTTGAAAACAACAACAACAATATTTACAGATAACGGCAGAGTTTATTGTCATTGATTTTGTTGGAAATTTAAATAAAACACTGATGGGGCTGGACGAACAGCTTGTCAGACTGGCCACTAAAATGAACTTTCATTCTCTTTTAAACTACAATGCCACATGTACATTGATGTTGCCAAAGAGTAAATTAATTTTTTTTACAGAAAACAGAACAAGTCAAGTGGAGAAAAACACCACCAAGATAAGGATGAAAATGGACTGCAGGAACTGGTTGTTCAAAAGTTGGATAGTGCTATCCACAGGAAAAATCACTATCCACGGGATAGCGCAATTGGTTTCCCTAATACTTACCTGAAGGATAGTGATTTATCTGATGGATACCGCTATTCATGTTTTAAACAACCGGGCCTGTTCATTAAATCTGATTTTGTGAAAGTTAAGATTTTAAATTTTATCAGAAAATGAGGTAAACCTAGTCTGTCATTGTTGTAGACAAAGACCACTATTACCATAAACCTTTCTCTCCCACACCAACTAGGCTAGATTATTTCTGACACCCTTAACTTCAAATCTGTCAATTGAAGCCTTTGGTGATACCATTCAAAAGAAACCTCTTCTTCAGAACCTTTGCATACCACTTTGTTTCTATTTATTTTAACTAAGGATTTAACCCAACAAAACTTAATTTTTTTGGTGAATTTTTTCGCTGACCAATGTTAGGGGAGAATGGGTCTTGTAGCAAAAACAAGATTTTTTTGCTGTAATGAAGTCTTTTAATTTGTATCTGTTATGAAGTTGCACAAGGTAACAGAACGTTCTTGTTTATTGTGGGCCAACTTGGGTTCTATCTCATGAAGACATCCGTATTTCTAAAACTTGAGTTATCCCTGAAAATGAACAATGAGTTTACAATCAGTTATTTAAGTTGAGAAAAATATTTTTTGTGTGACACTGAGTAACTTTACCAAGCGACATTGAGTAGAACTTTGCCAAGGGAGTTAGGGCTGTCCTGATTTCAGCACTAATAGGACAGTGTAATAGGACAGTAAGCGTCACGCATGTGATAAATTGGACATGTACACACCACCGCTACGAGCACATAAATGCCTAAGCCTGAAATATCACAGATTTTGTTATAGTTTTGGTAATTTGGTAACAGAACTTCGTGTGATCCAATTCAGTCTGTAATCATGCTTGTGATTAAAGAAATTGGACTCCAGCTACGGGGTCGTCTGATTTTGTTAATCACTTGTATGATTTCAGACTGAATTGGACTCCACTCAGTCCTATTACCATTATTTAGAGTTACCTAACAATTATTGAGCATAACTTATTATTATAAACTAGTAATAACCAAAGGTTGTAGTCACTGAGTGTGGGTGGAATGCTCGAAAACTTGTCAAAATGCTTTTGCTCTGATACTGTGCTTTGGGTACGTTTCACATGATAGATGGTCAAAACATGTGTGATCAGATTACATACTGTGCATTCCACTCATTCCTAGTGGAAATTCAAACAAAGCTGGCTACATAAAACATTGTGTCTTGCATGCATAATAGCAACCTTGAGATTAGGATTGTGGGCTCTTCTTGTCGTTTGTAACAGGGTTATCAGAAAGTTTTGAAGCAGATGGCTGAGTTGTCAAAGTAAGCAGCCAGTCCAGGGATATTTTATTTAAAAAACACCATCCGTAAAGAAATGCCAAGCAGAGTAGCTGGCTGATAATAACCAAGTAGGCAGTGATTTTCACTGGCAGCCAGCTACTTTTGACAAACCTTATTGTAATAATAATAAGCCTTGAGTAAAAGATGTCTGATGGTGAAGACACAAGTTTTGTGTCTGTGGTGATTAAAGGTACTCCCTAATCATGTTAATTTGTCATACTTTAAGCTGCTCTGATGTGCCTTGTATTCCATGATTGTATTCTGTGGTAGGTTCAGTACTCTTTTCAGCGTGTCCCTTAATCAAAAAGGAAGAATAATTTTGTTTAGCCACACAAACCTACATACAACATGATGCCACATGCAAAAAAATTCATAATTTGGAAGTACGGTGTAGGAGAATTCTAACACCAGAAAGCTCGAAAAAATTCTGAGCTTCAGGTGAGAATTGAACTGAATTACCATCCGAGTTCTATCCACTGAGCTGCTGGAGGCGCTATGGAGAGCAGGGTCACCAGTCATTGAGGAGTCATCATAATATTTTTTTTTTCTGTACAGTGGGCATGAACATCATTTCGGTGTACTTATCACTGCTTCTACATGAGTCATCGCATGATACAAGTATATGTTGTGGTTCAATTTTAACTTTGGTTTATTTTGTACCTTCAGGAGGAAAACTTTGAAAGACACAGGGCTGTTACTAAGATTTCAAGTTGTCAGGTATAATTATGCAATTAGTCAGCAAGAAATTGAAAAGCTAGAAAGATCTCTATGTTTTCTACTCCTTTTGTTTCATCTCAAAGTAGCCGGGTCATGCTCATAATTATAAAGTCAGGGGAAATCGCCAGCCTCCGGCTCTTAGTGACAGCCCTGAATACAAGTTTGACAACCCTTATTGCAATAATACAATTTAATGTATAAGGGACTATACCATTTTAAATTTGCAGATTTTGTATTTGTATTTGGGGGGGGGGGGATGGGTGGGGGGCTTTTAGAAATTGTATGATTTTTTAAAATAAATTTAGAGAGGAACTTACCTAATTCTTGTTGTGGTTGCTTGGTCTGCAGCATTTCTGTTCCATATTGAGATGATATCTTCCTAAAAAGATACAAAATCATAGATTGTTTTGTGCTGTGAACAAGTCAAATACTGTTATTTTTTTGATAAAAGGAAAGAAATTTCATATCTCCACTTGGGTATGTGATGTTTTTTGTTAGATAAACAACAATGAGATACAAAGAGACAATAAGGACTATGCATACTCAGACTTCTGACCCTATTAAAACCCTTTTCTTTACAAAAAAAAATTGGGTCTGACCTGGAATCGAACTGATATGACAGCACCGCAGACCTCACTTCCAACCATAAACTGCTCTCCAAGCATTGCCAGTATCTAAAATACATACATAAAGCAAACAATTCACAATAATGAAAACTACTCATGTGGTTTAAATACAAGTAATTGGGTAACCTAGGCCTATCAAGAAGTCTTTTTTTTTTACCTTTTTCCCTTTACATTCAATATTCCCAAGGCTAATTTATATTTACAAAGGAAGCAGAAGTCTGCTAAAAAATCAGGCAGAACATTTTTATTAACCACCAAAATAGTAATTTTATTTTATTACCCATGAAATTCAGCAAAACCACGAACAGTTTTTATTATTTCAAGAAGTTTCATTACATGTAGTGGCCATATCACAACAAAGAATGAACACAGACCACGTAGAGGAGACCACAGAGCCACAAACTTATTAACCAAGCTATTTGCATTTATCATGTAGTTTTCACACCCTTGATAAACTTTTTCTTTGCAGCACAATTTGTGCTTAAAAAATTTTGGACGTTCACAGTTTTTTGAGTTCGACAGTGACTGGTTTTCTTATTTTCTTTCTTTTTTAATTATTTTTCATACCAGGTTTTCCCAGCATCTTGATGCAAGCCCCTTTCTCAGGCGAACTATCCACTTTCCCCCATGCTTGTTTGCCTCATCCTAGAAAGACATATTTATAAAGAACATGATGATGAAGGGTAAATTTAATATTCAACTCTTTAAGAGCAACCATAGCACAGTTAAAAGAGAGAAAACTTGCCTCCCACCAATGTTCATAGATCTGGACCTGGTTCCCGGAAGGCCGATTAGCGTTAATCCAGGATTAAAAGTCTTGTTCCATGTTTGTATGTTACATTCCTATGCATTGCTTAGAGTAACATTTTGTGTTATCATTACTGTATCTCGTAGTGAAGGCTCAACGGTATTTTGAAACCTCATGTTGCATGTTCTTAGACAAGAAAACCGTGCCTGAAATTTGGCTTAATCTGGGTTAAACTTAACCATCTTTCGAGAAACAGGGCCCTGGGCACCTGGGTAATCCCTGCCTTAACAACATGTGGGTTGAGTTTATTTCTGGTGCTACTTGCTCCTGCTGGGAGTCCTGTTTTACCCCTCCTCAAAAATGACAGGTCTGTGCTGTAGGAGAGAGCAGTGGTCCTTAGTGCCTCACTTTGGCTCTTGGGCGACTAGAAAATCTTTTTTTCTTCCTCTGCTGGTCACCCTGGAATTCACAGGTTCAGATCACTGCACTTCCTTCAATTTTTCTTAGTTGTATAACAGCTGCTGTAAATATAAAAATTGTAAAGTTCTGTCTGCCATCTTCTTAAAGGATTCAAAAACTGAAGATAACCTACCTCCCACATGGGTTTGATGCCATCCTTAAACAAGTGAATGTCGCTGTGTCCAGTTAAGTCACCGGGCCGGACCAGGTAGCTGTAAAAACCCCAAAACTGTTCTACCTGGGTGGTGAATAGAAAACAGAAAAAAGAAAAAAATCCCATTATACTCTAATAAGAATAAGGCAACCCAGGGATCTATACAAGGAAACAACTTACTGATGCAAATTTTCCAACAAGCTTAATGTTGTCAGCATAGTTAGCGGATGCCTGAGGCTTGCCTTGAGGTCTTCGTGAAAACCAAAATGCATGCGGACATTGCAATGGATGTTCTCCCTCACCTACAGTCACAACTTTCTTCTCAAGCTGAAAGAAAAAAGCACAGAAAATTATGTTATTTTTTTCTGTAACCAATGATGGCTTTTAAAGGCAATAATAAAAATAAACTGATTTTACATGTATCATATTGACTAAAGTGTATCATGCTAATGGATGCAAAAAATCCACTAATCCAGGTGTTGGACAAGGCATCTTTTGCCACTGATGTAATACAATGTAATAACATACAGCTGTAGTAAAAATTTGGAAATTACAGACAATCTTAAGAACAAAAAGCAAACTTTAAAACATGTAACATGTACCTCAGCCCGGAACTTCATTTCCTCTGTCAAATCACCTCCATTCATTCCTTCACCATTTCTTTCCTTTTAAAGTTAAAATATGAAATTGATGAAAAAGGCATGTTAAACACTTTGATTCTAGTCATGCTGATATGACTAAACAATGGCCTGCTCTCCAGTTGGCTTGATTAGCTTAATGGATAGAGCACTGCGTCTGGGCATTGTAAAGGTCAGGGGTCCATTCCCTGCCAAGGCTGAATTTTTTCAGGTTCTTTTTCAACCACTTAGGCTGTTTATTGAACTGCGAGGATTATTTCCATGAGTTGTTGTGCAGGTGTCTAGTTCACTAATAGGCTGATTTAGCAATGGAATGGTAACGTCAGTTGACAACAGGAAAGTGTGTGGAAAGGAAAAAACACAACTTCAGGTGCCCAATGTGCTGCTCTGCCATTGGTCAAGCCTGCTGTTCGATTTGCACGCGCCGCTGTCAACTCACATTCCTGTTCTGCTGCTAAATCAGCCTAATGTCTTATGGACAGTGAGTGAAGATCAATTGCTAACATGTTCTTTAACCAGAAACTGCTAGTCATGGTGCTTTGAGAAGGTCAGCAAAATTACTTCAAAGCATGTGAAGAACGGTAGCATGTGTCGCAGATGTAATTTAACCTCAGTTAGTAATGTCTGTGAAGCAGTCCCAAGATTTTTGTTCTGAATGACAGGGTAATCTGCAGCCAGTTTTAGAGATTGTTGTGTTTATGCTGATGTGTTGGCAGTCTTCACTAGCACGAAAGCGTCTCATAACAATATCATGTTGGGTTGCTATTGAAGACCAGCATTAAATAAACTAAAGTAGACGCAAAAGTTAAAGACACCAGATTCGTATCCAGTACAATACAGCACTCTTGTTGAGTATCAACTTGAGTCTTGCGCATTGCTACCGTACTTTATCCACTAATTAAGGTGGCTCAACTGGATTTCTTGAGGGGGATACCTCCCAAGTTTGAGCATTAACTACGTTGGCATGAGTAAAGATATGGAAAAAAGGTTACCACAACTGTATTATATAAAGATGAAAATTTCTTACGATCTAGGTTTTACTACAATCGGAGTCGCCATGGCAACACAATGACGCCATTACATTTTTCATTTATCTTTGTGTTTCTCTGTACCAGGAGTTTTTTGAGGAAATCGCTGAAGGGAGTATGTACCTGCCATAATTACCTCCATTATGGCAAAGTTTGAAGAAATTCTATGAGAGCGTTTTCAAAATATTCTGAAATGCAGTTTTAAAACTGTATCAAAAGCATGTGAATGCAAGTTAATAAAATTCTTCTTACTCGCGATCGCCCAGAGCCATTCCCCTCTTTTTTTGTATGCAGTTTTCAATGGAATCAAACCACTATGAGATGAAGCTGCAATTCCAAAGCTTATCATTTTCTTAAAATATTAGTGAATTGTGCGGCTAGCATGCTATTTCACTGCTTTGATGGTTCTTAAAACTGCATTTCAAAGTATTTCGAAAACGCTCTCATAGAATTTCTTCAAACTTTGCCATAATGGAGGCAATTATGGCAGGTACATACTCCCTTAAGCGATTTCTTGAAAAACTCCTGGTACAGAGACACAACGATAAATAAAAAACGCAATGGCGTCATTACGTTGCCATGGCGACTCCGATTGCAATTAAACCCAGATCATAAGAAATGATCATCTTTATATAATACAGTTGTGGTAACCTTTTTTCCATATCTTTACTCATGCCGACGTAGTTAATGCTCAAACTTGGGAGGTATTTAGCCCCAAAAAATCCAGTCGAGCCACCTTAAAAGTTAAAACTACCGTATTTCTTGATTCACATTCTTCGTCTTCTTTGTCATCACTGTTGTCATCATTATTTGAGTCATCAAACTTAAGCCTAAGATTTAAAATAAAGAATCATGAGTTACAAAGTTACAGGAAAAAATTTTCATTGTCCAAAAATACGAATTGAAAATCATGAAACTTACGCTTCGAATTTGTTCATGTTTACCAATAAATATTTCTAAAAAGTGTCTTATAAAAATATATAACTATTTACAATGATATATAAAGCTTAAATATTTCTCCGAAGTGGCGAAAAGTCCGTGATTTTATGAAAATTTCTTGAATGTTTACAAATGTTTTTTGCTTGCTTGAAACTTAGGTTGGAAATCACGCATGCTCACTAAGAAACAACAACACCATTGCGGGCTCATTATGCGTGACACATTGAAGCCATCTTGTCACGAACTCCAAGACTCACGTGACTGTCAAGAGTGTTTTTTTGTTGTTGTTTTTTGCTTTCGGCTGAGACAATTCTGCACCTTTCCGGTGTAAAATGACGCTTCTAAGCCGTTCCCTTCAGCTTGTACTAATTTTTGCTGGATTTGTTAATTTATGCCATGGTTCACTTCATTTTCTGCGTGGAAGGCCGCGTGGAGGAATGCTTGCTGCTCCTTCTGCTGATGCCATTCACGTCAAAGATCTTCCCCAAGATCAGTGGTTCACACAGAGGCTTGATCATTTTGACGATTCCAACACCAAAACATGGCAGCAAAGATACTTTTATAATGACAAATTTTTCAGAAAGCCAGACGGGCCTGTTTTTCTCTCCATCGGTGGCGAAGGTGAAGCCAATCCGATATGGTTGACAGTTGGTGACATGATGAAAAATGCACAAGTGTTTGGTGCTTTCACTTTCCTCCTAGAACACCGCTTCTATGGCAAAAGTCATCCAACTAGGTATTTTAAATTGAGTTAAATGTCTGTAACTACAAGACAAACTTCGCTTTATGGACACCCACTCAATACAGAAGATACCAAAGGATTTATGCGTGACGCTTGATTTGGCCGAAATTTAGCGCGTGACGCGTGAAAGTCCCCGGGATGGGAACGTGTCCCGTGAAACCAGTTATACATGTGAAGCGTGATTTGTCTTCTAAGATGTGCAGGACTCGTGAATTATTTGCCACATTTCGTGAAAATCAGCGGTAAAGGAAAGATAGATTGAACAGCACCGTTGGTTTCATTCTTTGCATTACGTTTTTGTCCTGGTTAAGAATTATTATTACCTTAAGACTAGACCCTAAAAACCGCACGTGACCAGTGAACTTTCGGATCAATTTGTCCACTACAGCAATTCTCGTGTTGCTTTGTTGCCGTGCAGGCTACAGTCGCTAGGGTAAAAAGAAATTGCATTAGGGGTGTTGTTGAATTTTAACACAAGATGCCTGGAAACAGGAATTTCCCACATTCATGGCTGCTCGTTAACGCCCTTTGAGATCATCCCACTGACATTCTAATGAGAGGAGAAGTGGGGACACCCCGTTAATATGGACACTTACTGTGGCCCCCTCAGTGTTCGTGTTATTAGGGTTGGACTGTGTACCTTTTAAAGTTGTCATCTGAGAAAAAGATTGAAGTGTACATCTTAATGTTGCTGCAGTACTTTTTTGTGGTCAAGAAATGGATCCTGGAGGGTGACTCTTACATTGAAGTGAGGGTGGGATGCTCATCGTCTTGCTTAGGGGTAGAAATTGCAGATTGTAGTCTCACTTAGGGTGGTAAGGATGGGTCCTTTCTATCTATCTATTTTGGTGCACCCGCACTGATTTTATAGGTCCGTCCCATTCCTGTCTGTTCGCCATAACAGATGCAAGATCCTGTCTCGAAAGACCGCTGTCAGGTCTCTCTAGTTGGATCCCAAAACAGCGTTCTGTAGGTAAAGAAATACAGTTGAACCTTCACATGCAACCCCCTCTTGTGCGACCACCTGTCCAAAAGACCAAACTTTTCCCAGTCAAAGCCAAGCAAGCAAGTAAGCTTGCAAAGTTACTTTCCTAGGAAGAAAATCTACTCCTCCAAGACCAACGGATGGGACCTTTTTTAAAACCCTTGATTTAAACCAACTTGTCATCCTGTGTTTTGTTTAGTGATATGAGTGATGCAAGCCTCAGATATCTTAACAGTGAACAAGCTCTTGCTGACCTGGCAGCCTTCTGTAATGCCATGACTAAGAAGTTTAACTTGACATCTAGCAAGTGGATTTCCTTTGGTGGATCCTATCCTGGGTCTCTTTCTGCTTGGTTTAGACTGAAATATCCTCATTTAGTGAATGGTAAATGTATCAATTATTTATTAGCCTTTTATTCCTAAGAGTGTCAAACTTAAAAATTCGAGAGAAAGCATCTGAGTTCTGCTGTTGTATTAGGCAGTAAATAAAAAGCCATTGAATTCACGGAAAGCGCTGCAAAAGTTAGCTAATTTTTCATTTTAATGATCTCATTTTGAGTAAGTTTTGTCCACAGACTCATGAGGCCCTCTTAGGATGGGTATGTTGTAGTAAATTTTTTATCTCTGGTAATCAATTCTCATTTTTCTTTTGTTTTTGGGTATGGTAATGTATGCTAATGCATTTGAAACAAAAGAAAAATAAAAAATTACGGAGATAAAAAATTAACAACAACAGGTACCCATGCTCTTAGTCTGGATTTCAAAACCTGTCGTTTCATAAACTCAAAGGAGGAAACAATATACCTGTCTACATTTTATTAATTCTTTTTCAACTTGTCTTCATCGCTGTCACAGTTTCAACCCATCTTTGTGTCCTTTGTCACCATTTCATTATTCATCTTATGTCACTGTTTCAAGGCCATCTCGCCTGTCAGAATTTTACCCCAACAAAGCCTCACCCAGGCAAGGTAACAGTTGAGGAGGGGAAATTGTACGTGATAGGGAGGTATCCTGGTGAACAATTTTGTCTGTAGTCACATTCAGTTTTGATGTTAGTCCTTGCAGGTAACAATTTTTAATCTTTTACAGGTGCTGTTGCTTCCAGTGCTCCTGTTTTTGCCAAGCTTGACTTCACTAAATACATGGAGGTTGTAACAGCATCCCTTGGTACAACAGGACAAGACTGTGTTAAAAATGTGGCCAATGCTACTGAGACACTCAAGTCATTGCTGTCCTCTGAACAGGGTGCAAAACAGTTGACAGAGCTGTTCTCGTGAGTGTTTTTACACCCCTAGGTTTCATCTTCATCATCACCTCTTTTCATGCCAGTAGTCGCATAAGGTCATCACGCTTTCTGACCAACACTTTCTGTCCCATGTCCCAGCCTTGTTTATCTTTCTCTCAATAGTCCTTTTCCAAGTAGTCTTTGATCTTTGTCCCGCCCTTTGACTTTCTGGTGTCCACCCTAATGCTGAAAACCAGTTGTCACTCACATGCTCTCTCCTTAGTATGTGTACCAACCAGTTCCACCTTTGTCATACCTTGCAGCTTATGTTGTTGATATCTGCCATCACGTCCACTCTCTCTCCTCCTTGTTGCTCCTCATCATCTCTTACATACACTGCCTCACCACTTTGCAGTGTTACTGATCCCATTCCTTTCCACCTGTCCCTACCCATCTCTATAGCCCTTCAATTCCTTATTCTATCATTTTCTTGGCTTATTGTCTCGCCTGTGTTACCTCCACCATGGTACCCATGTTCCAGCAAACAATATTTGTCTTTCACAAGGGGGCTACTATTGGGCTTATCAGCCATTAAGCTTCATGCTGGATTTATCTGAAGAACGTCATTACAGCCCCAACAGTGACACCCCCAGTTAGTGTTGTCTGATTATCAATGCTTCTACTTTCTGTAACTGTTTGTCTTTTTTTATTAGGCCGGGTTGCTATCCCTACACCCAAATTCCAGCGTAGAGGACCAGGGGTCAGTCTTTGTCTGGTCTCTACCCTTTAAACTTTTTGGCATGGGTGGCCCTACCACGAGTACAAGACTCCCGCCGACATAGCTCTAGGGGTCATTGAGACATGCAAACTGCCCTACCATGGGTGGCCCTACCTGGAGTACAAGACTCCTGCTGACATAGCTCTAGGGGTCATTGAGACATGCAAACTGCCCCACCATGGGTGGCCCTACCTGGAGTACAAGACTCCTGCTGACATAGCTCTAGGGGTCATTGAGACATGCAAACTTCCCCACCATGGGTGGCCCTACCTGGAGTAAAAGACTCCCACTGACATAGCTCTAGGGGTCATTGAGACATACAGACTGCCCCACCATGTTAAGTCGGTGACCCCATTTTCATTTCAACAATGTTTTTGCCATCTGATCACCTGTGTCATACTAACCCCAACACGTAGTTTTAACTCATACTTTTATATCACATGTTAAATTAACATACTTATAAGTTTCTACTCGGCGTGGTTAAGTGCTTTGACCCTGAGGGACACCTTGACTGCCAGAGAGACAACACACCCAGTCTAGGTGACCGTAACATCCACTCTTTATCCTCACGTGCACCACCACCTTCAACAAATTACGCTTTAAGTATGTTGTAAAAGCGGAGCTCCACACGCGCACAAAGCGTGCGCGAGCGGAACCCCGTACCTAAGAAAATTTGGTAATCCACCCATCCCAGAAATTTTGGTAATCATGTGACCATACGTCCGTTTGTCGGCATATCTGCCGATAAACAACCATGCCAGTTAGGTGTACACGGAGTCAGGGTTTCAAGCACCCAGCAGCACATCTATACCCAAACGTGGGTCAAGTACCTCCCTCCCCTGCCTTTACCAGCTAAATTAACCCTACCGCAGTGTAACGAACTTATGAATAAAGCATTAACTATGATCTATGTTCTTATGACCTCAGCCTTTGTGAACCACTTGATAAAGACAACGGTAATGACGTAGCTACATTTGCAACTGACTTATCGGGCAACTTTGCTGGTGTTGTTCAGTACAACAAAGATAACAGAGCATTTGAGGTAGGTATCATGAAATTTACGAAGACAGCAACTCTAACGCACCGATCAATTCGAAACTTCAGCATTTGACCATCAATTGTAGACTACAAGTAGTCCCTCATTTCCCCTCAGGGGGAGTAGAGCGAGCGAAACGCGAGCGCGCGTGAAAATCAACCCTCACGAGAAAGGCGAGACGCTAGTGCCAAGTTTAACTTCATTTTATGATCCGGTGTCTAACAACGTAGATGCGATCTTTTATAGTTAAATGGAGGAGTTAAAAGGTCAAGACACATCTTTTGTAAACGAATGGCTTGTTTGATAAGGGCTTCGAAAGCTAGCATTTGTGCATTTTCGTTATCATGCCCCTATTTAATAAAAAGTGTATTAATATCACCGAAAGATATAAGCCCAAATTACTTTTTTACGTCCGAAACATTCACTATACACTGATTATAGATTAATCCACACACCACAACAAATGTAAAGTTTGTTTTTCGAATTCACAATCTGAAAAATATTTCATCTTTGGGAGGGGCATTTCACCAGTTCATTGGGCTAATGTAATGGGAATTTGACCAGGCCTCACTTAAAAGTTCAAATGACCTGGGCGTTGCGCGTGGAGATGTTGAAGTTTCGAATTTGATCGGCGCATTACTTTGAGAAATTTGTCTACTCAGTAAGAGTCTGTTGACCAGACGACGTTTAAAGTGGACCAACCGGCTTAAGACACTGCAAGCACTCTCTTATTTTTTATCATTATTTTTTCAAAGTTAGTAGAGTGACACACGTACCTGTTTACGAGGAACATTGTTTTAAGTTGTCCAAATGATAAAGACCTAAGAACGTGGTTTTGTTGAACCGCCGGTTTAATAAGCTGCCCTAAGGGTTAAAAAAGATCTTATGAGCATTAATCTAAAGCCACTTTTTTGCGTCAAATATAATTTGAGTGCGTGAGCAATTTCCTGTAAGATGTAACACTAGCCAGTACCTTCACTTCGCCGCTAAAGTTTTTTCCTAATGACGCTTAATTTAGTTATTTTTACCAAATGCTAAATTTTGTATTTTTTGGAAAACCGCAGACTGCCAAAAAGAAGAATTGAAAGAAATAATCGAAGAAAACCTCGAAACTGCAAATAGTATATACACGTGTTTCAACGAAAAAACGAAACTGCGGTAAGAATGCGGATGGAAACAAAAGTGTGCTCTGACGAGCGTACAGATTAACCGACTGATAGATAGCGCTAACTTGTTTAAAAATCTTTTCTTGAATGGACCAATCAACAAAACGGAGGAAAATGTGAAACCCGAAAAACCACTTTTCGTTTGATGTAAAACAAACAAACAAACAAACACCCAACGTTCTTAAAATAAATAACCGACAACCGTTTAACCCTTTAAGTCCCAATAGTGACCAACAGCAATTTTCTCCTGACAATGTCCATAGTTGTCAAGAGAAAAGGTTGTGAGAATATAAAAAATGATCATGAAAGAGAAAATGCCTTGATGTTTTATTAAATTCTCTCAACTAATTCTTAAAGGAAATGTATGGAGATCATTTTGAAGAATTTGTATGTGGATACTTGGGCTTAAAGGGTTAAGTACACGTAGCCCATAAAACCCTGAATTTTGGACGTCGGAAACCCAGGATGATCAGATTTTAAGGAAACTAAAATAGTGCTGTTGTTGTTGTTGTTGTTGTTGTTGTTGTCTTACATGTTGTCATTGTTGTTGTCTTATTTTCAAAGGGTGCAGTAGGAACAAATATAACAATCGATACTTTATGCGGTATCATGAATAACGAAGACATCGGAGATCCGTTGGCTCGTTATGCTAAAATCAACTCGCTGTTACTCCAAACATATGGATCCAAGTGTCTTGATTCAAGCTACAAGAACATGATAACAAGTTTACAAAATACGTCGTGGATCAGCAGTGCTTCTGAAGGAGGTAGAGGAGAAAATAAAAATTACTTTAAATTAACAAACAGAAAACATATAACAAGTTTACAAAATACGTCTTCAATGTGAAGGTGAAGTTCAAAATAAGGATAGACTAACGATGACAACACAGTGACCCTGAACGTGGATTCCAGGACTATATATTCAGTGCTATTCTTTTCGAAAATGGTTTCGGTAAGTTTTCGTCAGGATTTACCCACCAAAGAAAACCCTAATATGGAGAAGGCATTGGTAAAAAGGAAATATAAATTGATTTCTAAAATAGTTAATTATTAAATTGACAAACAGAAAACATTATTGATTTGAATGATTTCTTTTTTTAATCAAATTTTTTTTTTAAGGTATTAAAAAGTCCCAGGTCGACAGTGGATGTATCAAACATGCACGGAGTTTGGGTTTTATCAAACCTCAGATTCTGCTAATCAGCCATTTGGAAAGTTGTTCCCTTTAAAGTACGTAGTCAGCAAAACAAAGCCAGAGGCTTTCACAACAAAATTATTGATTAATTAAGTTTTTTTAAAAGTGGGATGAGTGTTTCTGGATTTTTTTTCCAAAGGTTCTCTACTTCCATCCAACAATCGTGGTCAAAACATTTTGGGACTCTTCAGGAAACTAGGCGTTAAGAGGCACTTTGCTTACTCATATTCTATCTATTGAAAAAACTTGGGGTTGTTGTTATGAGAGCCTATTTCTACTGTCCCCCTTCCCCCGCAAGCAGTGTTGATTGTGTTGAAACAAAACTTGAATGCATAACGGAACACTGCGCCGGGCGTGAAGGGGGGGGGGAGGGAAATGACCCCGTTTGACGAGCTTTGCGTTCATTTGCGAAAGACCTTTTTACCAGGATTGTAGTTCCAGTTCATTTAATTCGATTTAACGAAACTCGATGCCCAGAATATCATGAGCACCGTTTAAGTTTGAATTTTAACGGGTTTTGTTTGTTTTTTGTTCTATTTTTTTTTGAAAAGATTGTAATAAAACAGGGTTCGAACTTAATATTTTAGTCCACCAGAAAAGCTTTGCAGGCAAGAATTAGTAGGAAAATAAAAGTGTACAAAATTATTGTGAGTTCGAGCTAAAATGCGGCTCGAAAAACTTGTAGTCACTCTCCGCGCTTAAACAATGGAGTACAAACTTGCAGTTAAAAGGTGCAATAAAATTTTATCTTTCTTCTCAAATTGTTATTTGAAAAATGCTAACTCATAACTGCTTGCCAGAGGATATTCTTTTGACTCTCAAATTCTAAAAACCATTCGCTTTTAGCGAGTTTGGGGTCATCCTCGGTGTAAAGACCTGTGAAGTTCTTCTTTGTTTTCTAGCCATTATTTTCCTTGCCTCTATAGTGTTGACTTCGCAGTGGCTTCTTTGTATTAATAGTTTTACGTCATTCGTGAGTTTCACAGGTTTTTAAAGCGAATATGAGTCCGAGTCTGCGAGTTTTAATTTTGAGCCATGGCTCATTAACTTGAATAAGTTTCGACTTAGCCTGCGAGCAGGTTCCCTTGTGCGAATTCAGGGAAAAATCCGAATTCGAGAGAGTGAGCCTGCTCGCCGGCTAGTTTCGAGTGTTCCGTTTCCACACTGGGGAGTTTGTTATCCGACCACACGATGGCAGCGAAAACTTCACTTAAAAAGTGAATTTACGTTCTTCCAGGCTGTCCCGATTATTGCCTCCCGTTTACGTTATCAAAAGTAGGCGAACCCCTTGCGTTGAAGTTGAATGCCAAGGATCCCTACCTAAGTGCCGAAAGAGAAATAAGATTTTGTCGTCACTTGTTTACGTCCTCATTAAAATGTAAAATTATGCAATTTCACGTCGAAATCGTGCAAAAACGGCAAAGAAATATACCAAAAAGTGCTTAAATGCGCGTCCAAAGTTGCCATTCTCCTTCTAAACCTATTGTTGTTGTTGTTGTTGTTTTTTTACGTTCTCGTTGCGATCGAGTCGTCGGATTGTTAAGTCGCTACCTGTACGGAAAACTCGTCACAGATGGAAAACCCGTTCTGGTTGGAGTTCTCGTCTCTGTAGTGACTTCAGCCATTTACTTGATACATTCTTGTCGTGGGCTTTGTTCTTTGTCTCGTGAAAATCTAGCTACCTTTGAAAAAGACTAATGCGGTGTATTAAATTTCATCATAGGTTTTCTATTCAACAATGTATGGATATCTTCGGACCTCAGTTTAATGCAGCGAACATTCAACGCGGTATTGATCAAACAAACACCAACTATGGAGGATACGGAATATCTTCAAGCAAGGTGATTCTTGTTAAGATTTAACTTACTCCTAGATCAAGTTAGTTGTGAAGGCTTTGATGTTACTATTCAAATGAAACCTCTTCAGCAGTACTTTCACGTGGTACTATTGTGATTTGGGCGTCGCCCAAATAGAGTAATCGAGATGGCTTGTTTTGATCAAAGTTGCAATAGGCACGCAATACGTGCGAACTTAAAAAAGCCAAGTAAACAAGCCAAACGACGCGAATGTCTACTAAGCGATTGTCACGACACAGCATTTATCCTCGTTACTATTAACGCACGGCAAACAAATTTGATGAAAACAAAAGTATTGAAAAAACAAGGTTCACTGAAACAAACTATTAAAGAATTTAAATTTTTCCTTTGGAAAATAATTGTCCTCGCACACACGGCGTGAACTATTTTTTTAGTATAGGTACCGGTCATTAGTTCACTGTGCAGACTATTCATTGCCAGTAAAGACGTCGCGGCTCATGTAATCAGGCCCTTAGTTTTATTGCCAGATTTTACGTCCTCCCCCTTGACCTTACCGATTTTTCAAAGCCCCCCGAACATACACACAAGATTTCAGCCCCCCCCTCAAAATTATACTCACTTCTCTACATTAAATGAACTTTCCCTCTTATCTGCGTTCTCTCCATACAAATATTATCAAAAATAACCGAAAAACAATCCCAAATAGAAAGCCTAACAACGTTTAAAAGTAGTATAAGATCTTTTACAAAAATTTCAACCCACTTTTTTTACCTTCCAAAAAAATCATTTTTTGTTACTTCATGTTAAATTCTACGAGAACGCAGTTTCGCTGATTACCAAACTACAGCCATTATCTTACCAAATCCACGTCCAATATAACTCCACTCCTTCCACTTCACACATCTCAACCAACCCCTAAAATATACAACGCTACTGCACTACTCACACCTGCCTAATACACATGCCTAGTACATCGACTCCCAAATATACGCTCCCACAGCGTCTTGTTTAGTATCTATTTCTTTTGATGAAATCCTATGGTGTTGGTCATTCAAATGAAACCTCCTCAGCAGTACTTTCACATGGTACTGTTTATTTAGTATCTAGCTCTAACTTTTGAGTCTGTGGATAAAATCCTATGGTGTTACCATTCAAATGAAACCTCTTGGGCATAAATTGTGCCCAGTGCCACTTATTTTTCAGGATTTTAGTAATACAAAAAAGATTGTTTTTTGAGACGTTTTAAGTTTTAATTTCCAATATTAGGAGGAAAAGGGTAGGGATGGACTTGAATACAGTGTAACCTCTAATAACGACGGCCTTTCTTAAACGGCCTTGAGAAGACTTCTTCTCTTTCCATAAAATTGCAAAAGAAAAAGGACTTGGTAATACCAAGCCATCTTGACGAAACGGGGCTGATCAGTAACTTATACATCAAAGAAATGTATTACACTTTCCCCATATAACTGGTGTCATGGATTTTGCACTCCTTTCCTTCACAAAACAGCCACCCATCTAAAACGGTCACTGCGTGGCAGGCGTCGAATGGGATGGGTGGGGGAGAAGGGCAAAAGGGAGGGAAATTTTGGGTTTCTTCTCTCCCCTTTTTTTTAAGCCTGCCATGCAGGCCGTCTCTGTCCCAAAGAAAGTGACTGTCGTAGAGAGGTTCAACTGTAAGCTGTTGTAAAATGGGTGCTTGATGGGTGCATGTGGTTACAGTGTAGGCTATGTTCGCACTACACTGGATAGCTTTTTCGCTGGTACAAAAATCATACCGGATAGGGCTTCTGTTCACACACAATGACGTGATTTCGGCGCGATGTCTGTGGCGGAGAGAAGCTGCGCCGCGTTGATCTCGAAAGTGGAGCGTCACATATCGGGTAGGTTCCATACTTACTGTACCATACTTTGGTGCAATGGGAACACCTATTCGGACCGTGGCGGAAGTGAATAAGTAGGAGCGAAGACTGGAAGCCACTGAAACGGAAGTAAATATTCAGGAGCGAGGACTAGTATTTAGTGCACCAAACTCTCTCGGCCAACCTCTCAGGCACGATGTTCGACGTGTGTGAACGACTTTTTCGAACTGTACATGAACGACAAACACATTTATTTAGCAGTCCAGCTCTAGTTGATGTTCATAGTTTTCGTGTCGGCAGGAAAAGCTTTCCGTTATAGGCACAAAAAAGATACACTCTTGTGTCTGTATTACAGAGGTAGGATTGAAATATATAAATTTAGCCGCGGCGAAAGGCGACGCTCCTGGTAAATTTATAATCTACTTCAAACATAAACTTGTAACCATTGTAACGTTGAGCCTGCGATCAGTTGAAAACTAGTAACTTGACAGCGGAGAACTTCAAAAAACACGTTACCTGGATGGGTCGACACCTGAGCCCGCAATAAGGTCATGTGATACTGGTCAGCGGATACCCTGTTTTGACAGCTGTCAATCGACCAGAGCATGGATGAGCAATATTAGGTTGCAGGCTCCCACTTTCGCTGGAAAGTTTGACATTTCACATTGGTTTCCCTGTAGTGCCGGCGGACGTACGGTCACGTGATTACCAAAATTTCCTTGATAGATTACCAAATTTTCTTGGGTATTGGGCTCTGCTATAAACTGTGGTTTCTACGGGACTGATTAAATTGTCCATATTAAGAGGTGTATGTAAGTAGATATTCGTGCGTAAGCCTATGGCGCTTAAACCGAGACATCTTTAAATTGATGGGAAATTACAGTTCGAAAAGAGAAAACATTAAAGAATTGCCTTCTCTCGGTCTTGGGGTTCGAAGATTGACTTTTCACTACTGCGCAGCTTTGAATTGATTCGCGAAGGATCTTTTGAAGATAAGTAGATTCACGGCTTGTTTATTCGACGGTTCCGCTATAAGGATTACTGACAGGCACCTTTGTCCTGACGAAAAGTACATATCTTTCCTAGTAAATCGACCCTATTAATACGGACATCTACAGTGTTTGAGAAGTTTTCCTTAATTCTTAGTCCGTCTCGTTGAAGGGAAAGCTGAAAATGATGGTCTAGAACAAGGACACGGAGTATCCTAATATCCTTACGTTATTTTCTGTCCAAAACCATTTGAAAGAGCGAAGGTGTCCGTTTAGTTTGTGTTTAGGTTCCCGCTGTCTACATTTATCGGGTTTATAAATAAATAATTATATAAATAAATAAATTCTTTTTCCTTAGTTTTTGACGTTTTCACGTCGGTCAGATACGGACCCTTGCGCTTGTCTATCTGCATTTATCGGGTTTATAAATAAATAAATAAATAAATAAATTCTTTTTCCTTAGTTTTTTACGCAACACATTTCTCGCGCTGTGGCAGAACATCAGTATTTTTAACATTGACATTAACGTGCTTGTTCATATTTCCTTGTCGCACTCTCTGTCCAGCTTCTCCTTCGCGTTCTTGCCCTGCTTCTATACTGACCACAGCGTTTGATGCTGATCCAGATATCTGTCTCTCAATCTGTTCAGCCTCGGCAAGGTTCCCAGCTCTACAAATAAACTCAGTAAACGCCACGCGAAACTCTCTTAATCTGGCGGCGTATATTAGAGGATTGAAAAAAGCGTTCAATAACGTCATTAACGATGCCAAAAAGAAATATATGTAAAGGACGTCAAAAGACAGTTTACTTTGATACCTCACTAAGACAGCTCTATAGATCAGCAGGGGTATGTAACACGATATGAGCACTACAATGATGATAAATGTCACTTTGAAAGCCTTTTTATCTTTTTCAAATTGTTTCCTTGCTTCCACGGTCACTTGCTGAGCTGCAATTTGCTTTTCGTGTCGGCGGATTTCTCGGTAAACCGTAACATGGCAGAAGATTATAAAGGCGAGGCATAGACCCATGGTTGCATTGTTAATCGGCAAAAATACAGATCTATAAACGACAAGACCAATGTAAAAAATTATTGATAGGAGCCACGCTAAGACAGAGGTAACAAGTAAACGAGCTTCGGTAACGAGGTTAAAGTGCGCGAACGGGTGTCTCATGGCTAATACCGCTCCCCGCTAATCAAAGCCATGTGGATTAAAGAGGTAGATACACCGACGCCTGACATAGCCCTTGTAAGAGCTTGCAACACGCACGTTGTACTGGAAATGTCATCAAGTAAGACTGTTATAATCAATGCGACGAAGGAAGGCTGTACAAAGATCCCGACAACGAAGTCTGTTGAAGCTAGTAAGGAGAGTCCAATATTCGACTTGTGACTTCTCAGATGTGGTTTCATTTTGACGGCGATCATAACAAGCGCGTTCAAGGCAGCGGTGACAGGAAATGTAAGAATGTGGACGGCAATGATAATAATAAGGAAAGCTTGAGTTAATGTCGAAGGTTGATGCAGTCTTCCTCCCATAACAACGTAGAACTCACATCTAGAGGGGAAGAACTCGTTGCTTGAAAGGTTCGAATTCATCCTTTTAAATCTTTTTCTGGGCTTTTTGCAGTTCGGGTTACCGTTTCTTCAGTTAGTTTCGGAAATTGTCCCAGTTTGAAACAATCATTATCCGTTACAACAATGAGCCCATTACAGTCAAGCCTTGATGCCTGTACCAAAAGGAAAGATCTTTGTGTCCGGATCACTGTGGTGTCTGTATTACATCAGCTGTGCCCGTATGATTTATTGTATCTTCGGACGAAGATAAGTCTCTGAGAGGCCAGTCAGCGTAATGGCGGACTGTCATAGGACTGTCTTTGATAAGAGGTTCAACTTCACTTGATGTTTCCGAGTTAGTTTTTTCAAAAAAAAAGAGGGAAAAGAGAAAAGGAAAGAAAGCCATTAGAAAAAATTCAATGACATGAAAACTGGTAAGTTATTGCTAATAAAGAAAACTTGTAATACAAGTTACTTTGTAACTTTTCTTACGAGTTATTTTTTGTATTATTCAGTATTTACCTCCATTTTTGCACGAGCGCACAGCGAACGGATCGTCCCAGCCAGTTTAAATTAACTTTGAAAAACTTATTAATATTTCATGAAGAAACTACATAGAAATTCAAATTAAATGAAAGTGCTTTAAATGTGAAGTTTTTCTCTGGTTTTATTATTTTTTGATAAGTTTTTGTATTATTAAACCGACGAACCGATCTAGATGCAAGATTTTTTTAGCGGTTAAAAAAACCTTTTTGTTCTCGCTTTAAACTGTATAAAACGGTTCTGTCGCGGAGTTCCGCGGAGAACTGAAAACTATCTAGGAGGCCTGGCTTCAAAGGGGGCTTGGCTACTCAGTAAAAAGATAGAAACTGTGAGTTGAAAACGTGGTTGAAGCAAACATTGACTGAGATTCGTTTAATTAGTAGTAGTATTAACAAAATTTTATTTTAAAAGTTTAGTATTCGCATCCTTGGCGACAGGTTCTGGTCGTTGACTTACCTGAACATATTATATTTAGCATTCACTGGATGAGGCTGAGTATGATCTGGAAAATTATGCCGATCGAGGAGGGCGTTTTCGGACTCACCGCCGTTATATTTTCGAGTTATTGAAGTATAATGAGTGAAGTTGGTGCTCCGCTTTTACCTTTGCCTGTAACTAGATAAGATTACCTCTTTTTCTTGGTGAATAATTGAGGAACAGACAAGGCGAGTACTTAACCAGCAGACTGTAGCTTCGAACGGTTTAAAGATAATTTTGTCTAGCGTAGATTAGAATTTCTCATAACAGTTGTGTTGTGGTTTAATATGTATTTTTCTATTATTATTTTGTGTGTGTGTGTGTGGGTATAATAATGAATGATAATGAGGTTAAACAAAGAAAAAACAAAATTAAACCAAAAATAACAGAACCGTTAAACGTGAATTAGTTATTCACCAAGAAAATGAAGTGCTTTTATAGGCGGATTCATCGTGACGTCATTGTTTACATTTTTGCTCATTATCGTACGAGTTAACCCATAGAAGATGTGACCGTTTATACAAATTAGGTTCAAAAAGGAAAAGAGCTAGTTAATTTGAGTAATTTTTGCAAGTTTCACCCCTTTGCAGTCAACTAAGAAAATAGCAGCAATCAAAAACTGCGGAACTGCTGGGTGCCAAAACGTTAATGAGTTCATACATTCTTTGTAAATTTCTCCGAACATTTTCGGCACATCGGGCTCAAATTTTCAGAGATAACAGAAATTTTTATGCTCTTTCAATATTCAGAGATTTTGTTTGATTAGCCTCATCAGATAATGATGAGCATATGCTAATGAGGCAAAAAATATTAACGGAGATAGGCCGTTTGCACTAAGAGGTCATGTGACATCGTTTTTAGTGAAAATGAAAGTTATACGATTTTGCCTTCGAAAAACGATTGGTGGGTTATATCTTAAACAAAGTAATAGTGATTTGGTTTTCAAACCCGCACCATTTTCCTAAAATGAGTAAGTTCGTAAATGGTCACGTGATCAAAATGTGAGTTTTGAAATTATGAATTACCTCTTTCTGAACACAAATTTTGCACTTAAACTTCAAGGAAAATGTTGAAAAGGTGATGTGGTAACGTTTACAGCACATCAGAGCGTAACTATCAAACGTTTAACAAGACATAAGCAGAAAGTGGTTTTGGCCGCCATGTTGGAAGGCATGAGTATGCCCTCCAACATGGCGAACAATACAAATCATATTTTTACTTTGTTGAAAAATGAAAGTGCCATAAAACATCTCCCTTAAATACGTTTCCTCTCAAATTTTAGGTGTAAGATAATTTTTATGTGCTCTATCAATTTTTGGCATCAGGAAGATTCCAACTCATTGTTTAAAGGAAACATTGGTCACGTGACTTCAAAGTGCAAGTGGCCTATTCGCCCATATGTTTAAAGGCAAAGGTAAAAGCGGTGCTCCAACTTCACTCAAGAAAAACGAGTATTAAAAACAATTGAAGTTTAACTCATGAAAGGAATGAGCGATTTCGCAGAATTCTTGTAACTCCGCACGCTGGTTCAAACAAATCAAGAGGACTGTATCTTTCGATGTAACAACGCGATTTAATCCAATCGCACAATCTATTGCGATGTACAATTCCTACTCATTCAACGATGAAGACAAGAACTAGAACTAGAACGTGCCTAATACATTCTGAGTATACAGAGATTTTTCTACTGTCCTTATAGTATTTTTACATTAATCACATGTCTCTCAGGTTGAATCTTGTGTTAGAGATATCGACCGTTGGATGTCTTGTAACAAACTTAAGTTGAATAGGGACAAGACGGAACTGCTCGTTATCAGTTCAAAATATCGGCCACGTCCATCTTTAGATAGTATCCTGGTTGGTGATCATCGTGTAGAGCGGTCTGACAAAGCTAGGAACATAGGAGTTGTTTTTGATGAGACCTTGTCACTGGATAAGCATGTGAGTTCCGTTTGTAAATCTGCTTTATTTCATCTTCGGAATATCGCGAAGATTAGAATGTATCTGACTTCCGAGAGCACAAAGACCCTCGTCCATGCTTATGTTACTTGTCGACTGGACAATTGTAACTCGTTGCTCCTCGGGTCACCGGAGTATATTATTCAGAGGCTCCAGCGCGTTCAAAACTGCGCTGCACGCCTTGTAGCTGGGCAACCTAGGGCTGCGCACATTCGCCCCGTCCTTAAGGAGCTACACTGGTTACCTGTGGAGCAGCGAATTACCTTTAAAGTATTACTGTTAACTTTTAAAGCTCTCAATAACCTGGCGCCTCCGTATTTAAGTCAACTTATAGTCCCATATAACCCTACAAGAAATCTTAGGTCAGCTAGCAAACATTTATTAGAAGTACCGAGTGTGCGCCTGAAGAGCTATGGAGACAGGGCCTTTTCGCTCGCTGCCCCAAAGCACTGGAATGATATTCCCTTAGACATTAAATTAAGTGGATCAGTTGATGTTTTTAAATCTAGATTGAAAACTTATCTTTTTAGACTCGCTTTCAGTTGACTTTTTGTTTTGGTGCTATTGTTAGTTATTTTCTTTTTTGATTGTAAAGCGATATAGAGCTTTTGTATATACCGCTATACAAATAAAGTTATTATTATTATTATTATGTACAGTAAATTTCCTTTACAATGTATCTACATTAAGTTGCTATTACAAAATCGCACGTTCTTTCACCTTATTTAGCTTAAGTGAATAAATGCAGTTGCATCATTTTATATGGTAAATTTACTCGGACTTTGTCCACATGATTGTAAAATCCTATGTCACGAAATCTATATTGTTTGCGCTACAAATATCAATTTCTAATAAATATTTAATGACAAAATAATCAAGTTAAGCATCACATATTTCTTTCCCGACAAGCGAAGAGAACTCGCAGATAATTTGAACTTCTAATGTTAAATTAGTGTAATTTTATTACATATTTTTGGTTATCGAAGATTGCGCAAAAAATGAACTTGAAAGTCAAAATGGGAAAAAAATTTACCGATAAGTTGAGGGAAAAGAGCCATGTTATAATTGATAATATGGTGTTATGATGTTGTTGTCTCTGAGCTTTGTTGTTAATGAAGAGTAAAAGGCACAGAAATTACTTATAAAAAAGAGTCTGAAGGGATCAGTCTGAGCGAGAAATTATTATTAGTATTATTATTTTTTGATCCTTCCGTGTGCGTTCTTCAAGGGCGAACTTTTAAACCTTATAAGGCGAAACTATTCTCTTGGAAACCATAACACTGTAAGCGTGGAAGTCATTTGTCAATATTGAAGTATGTTTTGTTTTTACTTTACTCCCCGCGTTAAAACCTAGTTCAAACCACAAAATCTTCACCGAATGCTACAAAAAAACGGAAAGTCAGACTTACCTTTCGTTAATTACTTGGATCTATGTCTCCCGTAATGTAATAATCTTTTTCTGTGCTGACAAAAACGTTTCGCAGCCTTTACCTATTCACTCTCAAATTTCTTACTTTCAATGCTGAGTGTTCTGAGATTTAAGAATATCGGCGGCAGCATAAACGGCAAATTTCCCAACCAAAAGATCAAAGGTAAAGCGACAGGAGAAAAAGGGTGTTAAAATGTTACCAACAATAAACTTAATCTTGCTTGTAACACCTGGACGTATCATTGACAAAAGACGTGATGGCTGGTCCTCAATGTTACATTAAAACAAAAAGTGGACAAGCGAGGCAAATGTAAAGGCAAACACGAAGTTTTTTACGTTTTTGTTTTTGTTGTTGTTGTTGATGTTTATGTCAAGAAGGTGTCAAGCAAGTTACTTCACTGTTGCACAAGCATTATCCATAGTTTTACCGTCTATTTCATCTTATACTTTTCTGTGACTGGTTGCCAAATTTGTTGGGAAATTGGAAACTACGTTACGAATCGCGCAATTACTATCCGCAAATTGCGAACTTCCAAACGAAGTTGCAACTTTTATTCGGCACGAACTGGATTCGAAACTTCGAGATACGAGGAATACGTTGTTTTTTTTGCTTATGGTCCAAAAGAGTAAACCCTGTACTCTTATCCCTGCCTGGGAACGCAAGCAGATGCTGTTTCTTCCATCGATACGTAATTTTTAATAATAAGTGGAATAACCATTTCTTTGGCTTTGATTTTAAAGGATATAAACCGATGCTGAACGAAGCGTTTCCAAGAATTGCAAGCTCTCTGGGACACACTACGGGGAAGGGTTGTACTCGGGCGTGGATTTATTTGTGAAATGGATATTTTATTGACTGTCTATTTGTCGTTAGCGATTTTTTTCACATGTGTATAATGTCTGATTAGTTTACCCGATTTATTCAAGAATGCCTGTTTGGCTATTCAAAGTGTTAATTCTTCGTGGTCTCAGTTTGAATGAAGATTTTTTATATTTTGTATCGAAGTATTCTATATTTCCATTTGTATGTGTTTAACCAAATGATGACTAGAAAACGGTTGCAGTAACTTTTAATGGCGTCTAAGGGTGAATGGGTTAAAGTGGTCTTAAAATAATAGTTCAGCCTAGATTAAAGGTTAAAGGAATGGAAATGTGTCAGTAATTTACAGGCACTCCACTCAAATATTTAGAAACAAATAATTAATTAGGGTAACCTCTGTTTATTCTATTTTTTGTTTTTTTTTTGTTTGTTTGTGTGTGCGTATGATCAATGAACTATGATAGTGAGGATTATAAAAAGAAACTACTATTGAAGTAAATTTAAAGGAAATAAGGATGTTATTCAAATTGAGTATACTTTATATAATAGTATCTTGACGAAATGGAAAATAATGAATGAAGGGCTGAAATTTGCCATATTTTCATTTCATATATTTATTTATTTTTTGAATTAAATTATTCTATTTCAATACTAATTTTGGCGGATCGAAAATAACTCTAGAAACCGACCGGGAAACCTTTTAGCAGCCTTTACATTTTAACTCTTAAATCGCTTATTTTCAAAGCTAAGTATTCTTAGATTAAACTTAGATAATTGGCGGCAACATAAACGACAAATTTCCCCAACCAAGAAAAAAAAAATGTCAAAAAGCTTGAGCAACAGCCAAAGAAAAAGGTGATTGTAATGGTACCAACAATAAACTTAGGGCCTGTTTACATGGAGTGGGGGACCCCGGTCTAGTGGGGTAAGTTTCTTTTGTTTTGTGTCCCCCAGAGCGTGAAAACAAAAGAAACTTACCACACTAGACCGGGGTCCCCCACTCCATGTAAACAGGGTCTTAATCTTGATAATGTACAACAGGAGCGTAAAAAGAGAAAAGTCGTTGGCTGATACTGTATTTCGTAATTTTAAATTAAACTAGGATTTTCAATTTGCATGTAAGTGCTGGCGTCAGAGCTAGAACAAAATACGGAGAATACTGTTTGAAAACAAATAAGGTAGAGAAAATAAAAATGACTCCTGGGAATTAGGGTAGGTAAGCCGTTTTGAAAGAAAAATATGTTATTTTTGTGTATTTCTGACGTATAAAAGGGGAAAGTCCGTCGAGTAAATTTCCAAAGTGTAAGCAGATGATAAACGAGGTCTGAGATTTTAGTAATTGCTTGTTTATATTTTCTGGATCCCTATTTGCCTGTGGAATTAGTTTCATCAAGGTCACGAACGGTTAAGTGATGAATCCCGAGGAAGAGAGGACATTTTATGTGTTTGGCTGCTCTACTATGTCGACAACTTTTGCCGATTCGCGAATGGAAGTGCGAAGATATTGATGCATAGACATTATCGGGTATCATTCGCATTAATAAAACCTGGTTAGCGATATGCTGTACGGTCGACTCCCAATAGCTCGAACCCTCGCTAACTCGAAGCTCGTGCTAACTCGAACCAAAGTCGATTTCCCCTGCATTTCCTTCATACATTTACTGCATGTAATTTTACCTTCGATATGTCGAACCTCCCTCGCTAACTCGAAGTAATTCTTGTTTCCCTTCAGATCATTTCTATACAATTTTACCCTTGAGAACTCGAACCATGTTTCAAGCTCGTGATTAGTCGGAAAATGCAGTGAACAGCAGCTCAAAACATTGGTTTTATTTCAAAGCAACCGTGTATTCTTAGTCTTTACTTTTTTGTCAGTCCAATAGGGCATTTGCACGATGACGTCATTTGACTACAACTACCAGAATCCTTTAGGATTTCGTTTTCTTGTGCAAATTACGCCTTTTGTTTTGGACACCCCTCTGGGATTACAAAATTTAAATAAGAAAAGAAAAACGAAATGAATTCTGGTAGATGTAGTCAAATAACGCCATCGTGAAATTTGCCTATTAAATACAACGTTTAGCCATGTACTAATCAATCAAGCTCTTTTTTTTCAATTCCTTTTCCAAAACGTACTATAAATCTTGCTGCTCTTGAAGTGAAGTGTGCATGATACTTTCATTCCTCCCCCATTCCATTTCCTTATTTCTAGTTATTTGCTTCGATCTCCCGATAACTCGAACCTTTTTCAATTTCCCTTGAAGGGTCGAGTTATCGGGAGTCGACTGTATTTAAATTTCTCAAACTCATTAATAATTCATAATTAATGTTTTTATTTTTTAATTAAAGTTTGGAAATCTGATGAAAAACTGCTCATTTTTGCATCCTTCAAGTCTCTTTCTAAATCACTTTGTTTGAGAAGTAATATCAAGCATTCGACACAGTGTTTCATCAGCAGATACACGCCTCGAAGACACGCCTCGAAGTTCGTCAGAAATATTCCGATGCGCATCGTATTTTTAACTCTCTTCTCGGTTTTTCATCTGGTGATGAAACACTGCGTCCTCACGCTTGATGTATTACGTCACAATCAAGCATTTGTTCACGAAAACTCGCGAGGCGCCTCATTTTCGGCAATACTATTGTATTTTCTCTTTCCAATTAGAGATCGTCGAGCGCACTTATGAAAATAAAACCGTGCCGTTTGATTTTTGAAACGAAAAAGAAAACAACGTCTCTGTACAGACTAAATCCATGGTTCTAAGCTTTTCTTTCGCCTCTGCGGACAAATGTGCTTCATGGTCAAATTATCATCTGAATTATTTACCTCAGTGGGCAGAGATTTTGACGCAACGGTCAAATTTAACCCCTCCACGGGCGAGCGAAAAGTACTTTGATTTGCATGTGGTACCTAAGTTGCAAAGCTGGTTTACTTCGTACCTTTCCTCTCTTTTCTCCCGAGACCAGCAAACTAGAGTCGGGATGCAGTTTACTCCGAATAGAAGTATTTTTACCTGGCTTTTCACTATTGCTGAATGCACAGAGAAATCTCCATGAAGGAGGATTTAATTAATATCTTCGCACCTCCATTAAGGTGGTTTTCACGTTACGTCATCGCCGCCATGCTGGTGGACGGTAAACAAAAGATCGCTTATTAGCTCGCTCTGTTTGTCCACCAGCATTTGTTCATTTCACCATTGTTATTTGTGTCTCCCGAGATTGCATGAAAACCACCTATTCGCGAATGGGCAAATAGAGCGGCCAAATCCCTAAAAATCTCTCGTTTTCCTCAGGATTCATCACTAAAACGCTTTGGATCGACACCTTGATGAATGCTTCCACAAGCAAGACACCGAGAAAATAAAAAAAGCAATTTTTTCTTACACATTCACCTCGTTTTTACCCCCTTGCACCCTGGGAATTCAGTCAAATCTCTCGATCTCGTCCACGTGCGTTTTAAGTGATGTCGTCCCACAGGAGAGAATACCCCGGATAATAAGAAAAGTAATCGACTGCGCATGCTTCTGATCTTACATTCGACAATTTTGGCTTTTTCTAGCCTGCGTGAAAGCTCTCCTATTTGGGCGTGTCTCGCGAGAACGAGCGAGCGAAGGGCCGAGGGGCTTCGCCGCTCGCTCGCGCGTTCTCGCGAGACTCGCTTTGCTCGCCCACATAAAAGAGCTTGCTCGCCGGCTAGGCTTTTTCCCGCTCTTGTAGAGAATGGTGTATTGGTTCGCAAAGGCTTGCCGGCAAAAAGTGAAAAACCATTGCAACTGAAGTGAAACATGCGAGTGAAACATTTGAACAATTCAGAGACCGCGTGTTAAAGTTACTAGAAAGACTACCGTTAGATGCTATTGATCGCACTATCGAAAGCATCAATGATGATCGATTGATACCATTATTTCGTCAAAAGGGCCCCGAACCAAATATTAGGACTGTTTTGGAATCGAAGACCTTGGAAATAGGTTTTATATTTTTTTTTACACAGCATCACGTTCAAGCGCTTGCCAAAGGTCGGCCCAGGCGATAAGTTTGAGCTCCCATCGAAAATCATTTAGGAAAGTCACTCTGGCTTCCTCGTCCCCTATCCATGCGGAGGAGCAGGTAGGAGGATTGCAAAATGTATTGAAAAATTACTTTCAGTGGCGATAGAATAAAGCTCTTTCCACAGTTTGAGCTTCCATGTAAATAAACATGCCTGTCATAAACAGTCCGCATTTGCATATACCTCAATGCATACGACACAGTGCAAAATATTAATTCCACAAAACTTCCACGCTTCTACGACAGCTTCTATAGGAAACTTGTGATCATCTAAACAAGTCGCTGCATTTGCATAGACCGCGACGCCTCCTCCCCCCCCACCACAAATACTTCCACATTTATTCTTTGCCCACTATAAGGAGTGAACGGGTTAAGCATAACTTCAATCAGGAGCCTATTACCCTAAAGGTTCCTGCTTAAATGTAATCCAGCCTCTGCTAATATACGCCTCTCCAAACCGGCCTCGAGTAAGACTTCTCGGTTCATAAAAATGCAAAAGAAAAAGACTTTGGCCAATATCCATCCTTATTATATGGCTGAATCCACGAGCGGGTAAGATGATGCGAATTCTGTGTTCTGACTGGCTACACGACCATCTTGCCCGCTCAAAGAATATATTAAAACTGACGGATTTTCCTACACGGCATTTTCAAACGACAGCCACGAGAAATTATTTGACTACAGTGGAACCTTTCCTTTGGGACACTTTTATACAACGGTCACCTCCATTCAAGGGGCACAAACTTCGGTCCCGGAAAAACGTTCACATGATCTTTGTATTTGTTACCTCTATTGAAAGGACACCTCTATTCAGGGCAAAAAGACACTTTTTCTGGGTCCCAAAACCCAGGTTTAACCACACCTTGGCACTGACCACAAAAATCGTCGATAAGTTCAAGTGTTTACTGGTCAAAATGGCGACAGCTTTCAAAACATGAACTATGTCAGTTAAAATCAGTTCACTGCTCTTGTGGAAATTCAGTACACAACATCGCAGATAAGTCAATCAAGAATTTTTTTATACACTATTTAGCTGCTTGAAACAATGGCTGCAGCAGATTCCGAGGCAGAAATCAGTGAAAGAAAAATATTTTATTCGTTGGTTAGTTATTAACGAACCCCAGCCCAACCTCCATTCAGGAGACACCTCTATTCAAGAGACACTTGCCTTGGTCCCGAGGGTGTCCCCTGTATAGAGGTTCCACTGTAAGTTGTTACGCGACACAATTCTGGCGCTATGACAGAACGTCATTATTATTAACATTATCATTGTTGTTCATATTTCCTTGTTCCACGTTCTTTTGAGTTTGTCCGTTGCGTTTTTGCCCTGCTTGCTTTCTGACCACAGCATTTGCTGCACCAGATAACTCACTCTCAATCTGTTCAGCCTCGGCAATGTTCCCAGTTCTACAAATATACTCGATGAACGCTACGCGGAACTCTCTTAGTCTGGCTGCATATATAATAGGATTGAAAAACGCGTTCAATAACGTCATCAAGGTTGCCAAAAAGAAAGATATGCAAAGCACCTCAAAAGACATTTCACTTCGATCACTCATTAAGACAGCTCTATGGATGATCAAAGGTGTGTAACACAACATCAGTACTACAATGATGACAAATGTCACTTTGAAAGCCTTTTTATCCTTTTGAAATTGTTTCCTTGCTTCCACGGTCACTTGCTGAGCTGCAATTTGCTTTTCGTGTCGGCGGATCTCCCGGTAAACCGTAACATGGCAGAAGATGATAAAGGCGAGACATAGACCAAAGAATATATTCCTAATGGGCAAAAAGACAGATTTAAAAGTGACTAGAATAATGTGCAAAGTTATAGACAGTAGCCATGCCAAGATAGAGGCAGCAAGTAAACGAGCTTCAGTTACGAGGGCAAAGTGCGCAAACGAGTGTCTGATGGCGAGGTATCGCTCCCCGCTAATCAAAGCCGTGTGGAGTATGGAGGAGGAGACACTGACGCCTGACATGGCATTTGTAAGAGCTTGCAACGTGCACGTTGCACTGGAAATGTCACCAAGTAAGACTGTTATAATCAGCACGATGAAAAAGGGTTGTACAAGGATCCCCACAACGAAGTCCGTTGAAGCTAGTAAAGCGAGTGCAACATTCGACTTGTGACTTCTCAGCCGTGACTTCATTTTGACGGCGATCATAACAAGCGCGTTCAAGGCAGCGGTGACAGGAAATGTAAAAATGTGGACAACAATGATAATAATATGGAAAGCTTGAGTTAGTGTCGAAGGTTGATTCAGTCTTCCTCCCATAATAACGTAGAACTCACACCCGGAGGGAAAGAAGTCTTTGCTTGAAAGGTTCGAATTCATCTTTGTAAATCCTTTTCCGGGTTCTCTGCAGTTCTGGATACCCTTTCCTCAGTGAAATTGTCCCAGTTTGAAACAATCATTATCTGTTTAATAGTAATTAACAATAATGTCCATCACTTCTTACTCTAAAGTAACATACAATATATGATTAAATGCGTGTATCTGTCACAACAAGACCTTCAGATAAGGGGGAGTGGAGGTGGGGGTGCGGTCATTCAGACCCTGAGAAAAGGGGGGGGGGGACCCAGCCTAAAAAAAATTGTTTTCGGCCCAAAAAAAAAGGAGGGGGGGCTAGCGCCTCCCCTGTTATTTGTTTCAGGCATTTGCTCGGCCCCACTAGTGTTAGTGCTATAACTACTGCCGAGGGTAAAATTAATAACAAAAAGGAAAGAATTCCATTACGGCCAGTAAACATAGTTAGTAGAGGAGACTGGTTATGAAAGCCGGCAAATATCAAAGATAAAAACAACGATGCCGCAGTTTTATGTTGGGTGCTCCCTTACGGTACACAGTCCTTTGATTTATGTTTGTAAATTGTGACTTAATAAATTAATGCGACGTGTTTATTGGTCAATAAGATAGAAATGAGAGGAATGCTATTGAACGTTGTGCATCGTCAAGTCCAAAAAGCTAACAAATACTTTTTAAAGAACTCTGGTGGCCTACATACAGAAAAACTAACAAGTTAAAACTAATAGTATCACTGACAGGTGATTTGTTACTTGGTAATAGTATCATTGATGGGTATTCGTTTCTCATGAATGTACAGAAATAACTATGAACACTTGCATAAATGATTTGGTACTTTTTACAAGGATTTAGTGCTAATGAAGGCCCACATATTCAATAATCACAAGCCATGATCACTTTCATAATTCTCATGAACAGCATCGTTAATGACACAATCTTCTCCAATTATCTCCCGCCATCCCATCCAACACGTTTTATGTTACTGTTACTGTTACCCAACCAATCACTCACCCATCCACCTACTCTTAGTCATCTCACTCACCCAACTACCCTACACTCATCTACCTAGTCACCGACACAACCACTCCGTCCCCCCCGCCCCACAAACCCACTTACTCACCCATTCTGGTGAGGCTCGCCATCACCCACTGATTAACTTCAAGTTAATCAGTTACACTCACCCAATTACCTACTTCTGCTTTACCAAATAAGTTATCGTTGGCATTTACCTGGGCTAACTGGACAATTTTAAAATCTATGATTATGATAAGTTTATTACGTGGTTTGCCTTATCGTAATCGGTCAGAGGGGGTTTGTTTTACGACTCTTACTGTAAAGCGTTTTTTGCAGATCGTGTTTCCGAATGGTTCTATCGATCCATGGCATGCACTTGGAATAGTGAAGAATGTGTCTTCCACAGAACAAGCCATCTTCATTGAAGGTAATTTTCGAGATATACAATATATACCAAAAAATCTTTTTAAATAGCAGAGAATATGACAGGACGTCAGGGTGGAAATTCTATAGTTATGAAGCAAGTAAGTTCTTAAGTGAAGAAGATTTAAGTTCTTTCGAGTGATGTTTTAGTGTTCTAGTCATGTCAACGTATTCCATTTTGGTCCTGTTTCTATAATTTGGGTCTCTTCAAATCTTCGAAATGCACGCGTGATCATCTTTAGTGTCTTTAATTTTACTAATTCATATTTCAAGTGACGGTTATCTGGGTCAAGCAGCACTTAGGCGTTATTTTCCGCTAAATGTTGTCGATTCCGAGCAAATCATTGTTCACTCTAAAGAGGAAAGAGTTTGAGCTTCTCAACAATTTGCATACTCAGCACAGATGGAAGTACTATACAACAGTGCTAACGTTTCCTCTACAATATAAATTTGTTAGTAGGGCTTAGAAGACTTTTTTCAATTTGTTCGAAAACTAAGCCGTTAGGATTCTTAAATCACGGAAAGAACCTTTTTTTTTTTCAGTTTGCCTACCCTTACTCTGAATTGTATTGCGCCCTTTTAACACTACTTCCAGTCCTTTTATCACCCTGTTACCTACCTAACTACCTATCGACTCCCTCCTTTTCTACCAACCTAGCGACTTACCTACCTACCTACGTACCTAGTTATTATATCGAACGCCCTAAAGAACAATTTAGCTGTTAATTAACTCCCCTAGGAATCCCACGTGCGCCTAGCCCTTACTTGCATTTTATTTTAACTTGAATCGCCTTCTAGCATTTTGAGTTCAGTTTCATTTCAACGTTGTTTCTTCAAGAGCACTAAGTAGTAGTTTCCTGTCGAACTATCCCTTTTGCGGTCACACGTTTGGCGTCAAAACAATATAAGTGCGTTGTCCTTTCGTTTGCTGTATTTCTTTTGCACTCGTAGTATTTCTGAAGTTTTATTTTCAGCTTGTATTTCATTTTAAACCACACCAAATACAACACATTACGGTACATTGCATCTAATGTCAGTCGAGTCTATTGCGCCTATGGTCTACCATCTCACCTATTACTGTAACCTTGAGGACTCAAATCGTATTACAATTGTGCGTCAATTTTCAGCGCTGAGCAGCAAAAGAACGCGCCTTATGACAGCTATACTAGTGACTTACACTCTGTGACTGTTTATTAACGAAACTCATTGCAGCAATACATTGTACATATAAGGCTGAATTACAGAGTTACTTGCAATCGTATAATAATATGTACCTGAATATAGATAGTAAATCGCAAAGCTTCTTAAAAATTACCAACTAACAACAACTAATACTTAAAAGTAATAAAATCTTGATTGCGCTTGGTTTTACAAGTTTGGCGCAAGCGGGAGCTAGCTCCTGACCGCAAATGATAATTTGGCTGAACTTCCTCCAGTTTAGGGAAAATAAAGTGTAACGGGTGGTTTTCGTTCTGTAATCTTGCAACGTAGACCTGACATAGGTGGACTCGTCTCTCCAGCTACCTACCTATACGTACCTACCTTGCGACTCCCTTCTTACCTACCTCCTCCTTACCTACCTACCTACCTGTCTAACTATCTACCTACCTACTTAGCGACTTTCTTCTTACCTACCTACATGTACCTATCTACCTACTTTCCTACCTACCTACCTACCTACCTAACGACTTCCTTCTTACCTACCTACCTACCTACCTATCTACAAACATACCTTCCTACCTATCTTAGTGACTTCCTCCTCATCTACCTACCTTCTTACCTACCTACCAACATTGTAGCTACCTACTTACTTAAATATCCCGTGCGAAACAAAATAATTACAAATTGGTGTTTATTTAGGTACCGCTCATTGTGCAAATATGTACCCGGCAAGACCGTCAGACCCACCACAGTTAGTAGAGGCACGGCAACGAATTCAGGAACACATCAAAATGTGGCTGAACGGAGACTCCTCCATCGCCAGCTGAATGTATTTATCAAGCTTTTTCTCTTTTTTGTGATACGGTCTGAAGGCCAACGGCTTTCAATAAAAATTTCATTCATTTCAGTGGCGGATAATGACCTTAAGATTGGGGGTGGGGGTGGTCATCCAGACCCTGAGATAAGGGGGCCCCCCTCCCCTGGATCCCCCACTGCCTTTTATGAAGAAATTCATAGCTTGAGTTTTTGCACTTTTGTCCTCGCGAGAGATTAAAGACGTTGAAGGTTATTATTACGTTTGAGAATTCTTTATATTTTTACATTTTTTTAAAGCCGAATCGCCCGATACTGCTCATTTATAACTACGTTTCGCGTTTTAGCGTTTCCCCGAAAACGCTCCCCGGTAGCGAAGTTTGGTAAAAGACCGCAAAAGGAAAAAATGGGGAAAAGAAGCGAAAAGAACGGGGGGAGAAGACATAAAGTGGTCTTGCGTGTCCGAACCCAAACAGCTGTATTTCTCATCACGACGAAAGAAAGCGAATATAGTTTCCGAATTCGAAACAAAGGTTTGGATAGTTTTGTTTTTTTGTTTGTTTGTTCATTTCGTCGAAGTGATATGCAGTAAACTTTAACTTCGAACAGCAAAACGTGCAACGGGCGAATGGGCTACGTGAAAAATTAAGAAAGGATTTTTTTCAGCTTAGTTACAGTTATGTTATAGCGCAATTTATATTTTTTCAATTTTGTGTGTGTATGTATTATGATGTATGATAATGAGATTAAACAAAGGTAAAAGAAAAGGAAATAATAAACTGAACGGTAACAATTATACTCCGAGAAAATGAGATAATTTGATATGTCTAGGTAAATCTAACAGCGGGGCTCCGATTTCCCTCAGAAGAAACAAGTACTTCCGTAAAAACACATAAAACTAATCCATATTTTTCTTCAATAAGTCAAACATATGATGACGAAATGACAAATAATGAGGGAAAAGAATTCTTCGATAATTTGAACCGCTAAGTTAAATTAACATAATTTTCTTACACATTTTTGGTTATCGAAGATTGCTCAAATAACGAGTTTGAAAGTCAAAAAGGAAAAAAATACCCCAAGAAGTGAATGAGAAAAGGGAGAAAATAAATAAATGGCACAGTGATAATATAGTCGTAGAATATTGTTGCCTCGTACAGGCTAGGTTGTTAATTAAAAAAAAAAAAAGAGTTATGCAAATAATCGTATGTTTTTCTAACACAGCTTTGATATTACACTGTGAATGGATCAGTCTACGCAAGAAAATATTTATTTTTTTTCTATTTTTCTTCCATGTGTATTCTTAAAGGGCGTATCTTTAACCCTTACAAAGCGAAACTATTCTCTTGGAAACCTTAACACTATGAGCGCGACAGTCAGTTTGTCAAAATTGAATTATCTTTTACTTTACTCCCTGGGTTAAAACCTAGTTCAAACCAGAAACGTTTCCCCTAATACTACGACAGGGCAGAAAGTCATGACGTACCTGAATTACTTGCATCGATGTCTCCTGAAACGTGTTATGAAATACTTCTTTTCTTCTCTCTGCTGGCCAAATCCTTTAGCAGCCTGCACCTTTTCACTCTCGTATCGCTCGCTTCTTTTCAAAGCTAAGTATTCTTAGATTGAAGAATATCAGAGGCAACATAAACGGCAAATTTCCCAACCAAGAAAAAAGATCAAAGGTTAAGCGACAGCGAAAAAACAATGTTAAAAAGGTTGCTACAATTAACTAAATCTTGCTAATGTACCACCTGGACGTGTAAATGACAACAGCGATTTGGCGGTACGGATATTTGGTAATGTACTGTTATAAAATCAAACGAGGTAAAAACCGAGTCAAATGAAAAGGCCGGCAAACCAGATGAAAGCTTTAAAAGCAAGGTACTCATCTGTCGTACAAGCAATACCTACAATTTTTGCCGTCGTCTTTACATTACTTTTTCCGCGTTGGGTTGCCGGGTTAAAGGAAATAAAGATATTCGCCAAATTGAATATTCTTATATTAATATCTTTGACGAAATGGCAAATAATGAGTGAAGGGAATTTGCCTTTTCTTTTTTTTATTTCATCTATTTTTTTTAAAATCAGATTATTCGATTTCATTGCTAGTTTTGGAGTATCGAAAATAACGCAGGAAACAGTCGGTAGATGAAACTGAAAGAAATACACTTATTTATTATATGAAAGAAGGGCTTAACCCTTATCTTGAAAATTTTCAGGTATCATCCACCCTTCAAGATCGTCCTCTCACGGATCGCGCCAGTATCAGTGAAACTGTGAAGAACGCTCGAGATGGCCAGATTTCTTGGGCGCTTGACCCCCTTCGCACGTTTAGGGAAAGTACCATAAACAAAGTTTCCATTTCGGATCATACGCTTAACTTTTTTCCTGTTGTGCCAACAAATTTGTTTCTTTATGAACGTTGCCGGTTAATATCCCACATTCTGGGATGTTCCATCTCTTTCCAGTTAATTTCCTTATCGAGTAGTCGTTTTCTGTAAATTTAAGTCGTGTTGATTTTCAATACCTTAATTTTATGGAGCGTTAATTTCCTATAATAAGGAATTTGACAGTAAGATGGCCAAATTTCAGCCAGATTGGTTCACGGGTTACCGACTTTTCGCTAAATAAGTGCATGTACGCTCAACTTGGCCCGATTTTCATTTCGAGAAAAAAAGAAAAATGATATATTTTTGGCGGCGTCTTTCCCGCAACAAAAGAAATCTTTTTTGCTCCACAAGTCCAAGTCTAAGCAGTTGAAATTATTTTTTTTGCTAGAATTTTCTTTTTAGCGGAGCTCCACGCGCGCGAAGCGGAGCACCATGGGCAAGAAAATTTGGTAATCTACCTATCCGAGAAATTTTGGTAATCACGAGACGTACGCCCGACCTACCGCGCCGTCCATCCGCACCACAGGCATACCAATGTAAAATAACTCGTCCAACTGTTATGAGGCATGATTAGTCCTGGAGCGTGGCCAAAAACTTGACCAAGTTGCATCCTTAAAACTGTATAGATTATCATAGTTC